GATGTAGAAGAAAATTATTACCTACCTTTCAAGGTGCTTGTCAGGCCTAAAAGAGTTAAATGATATAAAGTGCTTGCAACAACCCCTCGAGTCATGCTTAATGGAAGTAATGAAAAGGAAAAAAAAAATTCGTAAATCAAGATGAATAAAGGGGTAGTTTCAAAACCCTAAAAGTGGCTCTTACAAAATGTCATGTAACCATACAATTAAAACCTTTTAGTGCCTAAATAGATAAAATTTTAAGTTGCATCTCAAGTCACATTCCCAGGATCCTGTTTTAGTTGCATCAGACCTTTGAGTATCTATCTACCACACTTTTCTTTTCAACAGAAGTGAAGGAATAATAAAGGAAATGAAAGAAAACCTTGCCGTTGCCCTCTTCTGCAGAATCCCTAAGTTCCTATTTATTATCAGTTATTATCACTGAAGTCCAGCATCTGCTACCACAGTTATTTATTTCATATAATTATTCACAATCATATACTTCAGCTATTTTTTAGTATATAACAAGGAAATGTTACATTAAAAAATACTATGTTGTCCATGTGTAGCATATTTGGTTTCATGAGGAAAAAAGTTAGGAATGTTTTTAAAAACACCCTTTGAAGAGAGTATGAAATAATACAAAAAGTTCTTAAAAATCACACATGAAAAGAAGCTGTCTACTCTTGAATACTCTTCTCCTCTGAAAACAAATGTTTATTTATTGCAAATCCTGGCAAAAAATATTTTTCTGAGTAAATAACATTTGACGGACAACTTTTTAATTTTAAAAAGTCACTTCATATTATTCTTTGGAAACCAGGTTTACGGTATACAACAAATTTCTAATTGATTTCCCCTAGCTATTTTTACCATGTAATTTTATAGTTCAAAGACACATTTCAGGAAGCTGTTGAGCAGATTAATGATTTCTGATCAAATGTTCAAATGTTGGCATTAGGGAATGGTGGTGGTGGTGTACTGTCGAGTTAGAACCGACCCACAGCTGGCCTTCTAGCAGGTTTTCAGAGGCTGTTAATCGTACAGGAGGAGATTTCTCATCCTTCTCCTGTGGAGCAGCTGGTGGCAGCCCAATATATAATCATTGTTGATGTGTGCCATTGAGTCAGAACTGACTCATAGCCGACCTCCAGCGGGTCCATCAGAGGAAGTTAATCACAAAAAAGGAGTCAGCCCATCCTTCTCCCATCGAAGAACTGGTGGATTTGAACTGTGTGCCTTTAAAATAGCAGCACAGCTTCTTACCTACCAATTATTATGTCTAAAAACTTATAACGGTCTAAATGCAATATTGATGTGGGTTATGGTTCATTTTAACACGTATATTCACTGCTTGTCAAGTTCAACAGATAGAGACCTTCCACTATGTTTTCCTGGTGGCATAGTGTGTTAGGCAATGGTCAGCTAACCCAAACACTGATGGTATAATACTAAGAATCTAATTATTAATACATTTTATTATATATTAGAATATTATATATAATTATTAATGTGTTTTATTATCTGTTATTTCTCATGGAAGAAAGATAGGCAGCCTTCTTCAGTAAAGATATACAGCCTCAAAAACTCAATGGAGTGTTGCTATGAGTTGATACTGACTCAGCGGCAATGAGTTTAACATATATGGCATTATTAAATTTATGTTAGGTATAGGAAAGAATTTAAAAAAGACTACTTTTACCTTATTAAACTTAGTGTACAGTAACACATTATAGACTATTGACTGATAAAGTGTACCAGCAACAGATCAGAAGAGAAGCAGGGTATGTATATATACCCTTGCGGCATACATAGTATAGTCCACCCTGAGTTAGACACTTTGTTTTACACACTGGTATTTCAGTGTTGCCGTTGTGTGCTGTCGAGTCAGAACCAAGCCATACCTGATCCTCTCCCAGGTTTTCAGAGGCAGTTAATCACACCGGAGGAGATGCTACACCCTTCTCCTTCGGAGCACCTGGTGAATTCGAATCATGTGCCTTAAGGGCCGCAGAACAGTTTCTTACCATGGGGCCACCAGAACTCTCTGATACTACACTAACTATTACTAAATAAGGGGAAATAATTTAATTACTTTTTTCCTCTTTAAATTCATATAAAGTCATTTTCTATTTGTAGATCAGAATCTCACTGCAAAAAGATAAAGCATGATGCATGGAAAAGTGTTCATTTTAATATTTATTGAGTGCTTGTTATTTCCAAGGGATTATGATAAGATTTTTAAAGAATCATTTTAATTTGAAGACAAATAACTGACATTTGCTAATATAAGATTTTATCTTTAGAAGATGATATTTTAATTTAAATACCAAAGATGACAAAAAAAATATATATATATTTACAAATTTATATATAAAGCTACAATGGGAAAATAAAAATGCTATTTTTACAAGTCTTTTGCAATTTTATAATGGCTGATGTATGTTAAAAGCCATTATTGTTTGTTTTGTTATTGTTGGTATTAAAAACACCAATGGTGGTGCTCAAAAATCCTTTTTTTTTCTGTTTCAACAAAAAATGGCAATATATTTTGGTGTATGAGACCTAATGGAAAAGTTTCTACTTTTACTAAATATATTAAATTTACACAAAGCCAAATGTATGAAAGGGGATCTTTTAAAAAAAACTTTATTTGAGAAAGGAAGAGACTTATAACAGAAGGCAAAAAGAGAAACATACAAACAATATATTTACAACACAAAACAAAGAGCTCACCTTCAAGGGTGTAAATTATAATAAATACAGTAGATTTTTAAAATAAGAGACACTTATCATTTAGATCTAAAAGTATTTAAATCCAGCTTTCCTTTGTAACTGGGTCGGTCTAGATTTCTTGATTAAATTCAAAAACTGTCAAATTCAAACAAGTGAAGTCCACCAACAGTACTGATGAAATTCTCTCAAATGACATTATAAAAAATAGGGTTTTTTTTGTTTGTGATTACATAACTTTGAAGTAATATACAAAAGTCTGCTCAGCCACATGTTCCTCCCCAAATAAAATGTATTTTAAAAGATGCACTATCCCTTTTTTATGAAATTGAAATAAGACTTTGAAGAAAAATGAATATTTATGAGATGTAAAAATATACAATTTTATCTTAAGTATGCCATATTTTTAAATGTAAAACAACTGACAAAAACGTCATTTTACTATGAAGGGATATATTAGCCAAAATATATTGGTGATAGGGAATATTGCCTATTATAGCTATTTGTCAAATTATCAGAAGGACTTTCATTATATGGAGAAGTTTTAAACTTTATAAGTTCTAGTTATGTTAATTTAAGTTGCATGGAGACTTTTTAAAAAAGGATAATGTATCTTTAGCAGTAACATTTTTAAGAAATATTTTAAATGTCACAGAAAAATGTAAACAACACGTGCCAATAACATACAGTTGAATAACGACTATATTTGGCAAAACCACAATAACTCCTTTGAAACAGGATACTACACCTTAAATGCCTTGGATTTAGAAATATATATATTTTAATAGAAAAAAAGTCAAAGATTCTAGGTCAGTTTGGATTATCCATATTAAAGGGGACTTAATACAATGATCTTTAACTAGCTTAACAAAAGTAAACCTATAAAACAAAGTAAACATATCAAAAGGGAATATGAAGGAAATGTTCCAGTGAAAAGCTTCCTTAACAATTTCCCTACTTGTGGTGTTATTTTCTTAGACAATAAATCAATTCATAGAGTGCCCTTTAAAAACAGAAAGAGTAAAACACTATCCTCAGAGTTTTTTTCCTACATTCCTCAGTACATGAATCACTTGGACTTCCTGTTTCCACAAGGCATTTCCTGTTCAGCCTCACAGAATCACTTTTCTGTAGGAGAACAGCAGGAACCTGACAAAGGACTGACTTAAATAAACATTGTTCTGTTGCCTTCAAAGTTGTTTGGATTTTACAGCATCAAAGGACATGGTCCTCAGGAAGGTGCATTATGTACAAGTAGATTCTTTTGTTAAACTTAACTTCCCTTTTAGTTGCCAAAATGATGTGTTCTATGCCATGTCACTGTGAAATTATCCTGACAGGATCCTAGTGATAATGATCAGAAAACGCAATATACCTTCTCTTAAAAGTGATTTTTAAAAACTTCTTATTAGATAATAATCATACTGTTACTGTGTTGGGGTTTTTTTTGCAGTTGTAGCTATTATATAGATAGTATCTGATTGGACCATTGTGTGGCACATTACTGTTTGCCAATAGATGCATCTGCTTCTCTTGATCTTTTGGACAATGTCATCAAATAGCACAAAGGCTAAAGGAAAATGAGCAGTGCAACGTGAATCTTAATGCAATGTTTCAGATAGTGCTGCAGTTTGCGTCTACGTATGTAAAACCCCCTCTACTCCTAATATTTTCAGTTGCAATCTATACACAAATTTAGGATTACTGGCATGGTAACCAGAACATCACTACTCAACAAAAATGAGAGGAAGGAAGGGGCTGACTAGCTTTAACAGTGTTCAAGACTGTGATATAATACACTATATACAAGTGATATGAAAATTGCATTTGATATGTCCCCCCAAATCAAAACTAATAGAATGCTTCATTGATCAGACTGGGACAGTATTTCTGGCAGTCACTGATCTCAACAGATATCTCCACAGATCAACTAAAACAACAATGGGTTTTTCTTTAGAATGAATTGGTATGGCAGGCTTTCGGATGGATATAAAGCCTATTCATTCTTGGATACCTGTATAGCATCATTTAGTGTAACATGTACTTCCTTGTCAGTAGAGTTTCATTAAGGAGCCCTGGTAGAGCAGTGGTTAAACTCTTGACTGCTAAGCAAAAGGTCTGCAGTTCGAACCCAGTCAGTGGCTCTGTAAGAGAAAAGACTTGGTGATCTGTTGCCATAAAAATGACAACTAGCCTAGGATTCCTATGGGGCAGTTCTACTCTGTCCTATAGGGTCACTACAAGTCAGCATTGACTCACTGGCACCCAGAAACAGAGTTTCAACAAAACCTTGATATCTGTATAGAGATCTTCATATAGAGTGATCTATATATAGATATGCATACATATCTATCTTTGTTAGAATCCTTGAACATTAAGAACAAATTATCCAGAGCTATCAACTGATAGGGAAGAGTATCCATTCACCAAAACCTGCAAATCATTTCATTTTCAAATAATGACTTTAATTACAAATCCTGGAGCTAAATCTTTGCCTATTACCTGTTGCATAAAAGCAGCCTGCTCCCCAGATTCCATTTCCTGGATCTGAGCATCTTCGTCACTGTCCACCGGTTCCTCTTTGACCTTCACAGCCCCAACTTGTCCCAATGCATCATCCATACAAGCAATGCTGTTACTCCTAGTGCTGTTGCCACTAGAGGGCGCTCTGTCTTCCTGCATCGCCTGGTCCCCTTGAAGCTCTTCCTCTGCTTCCTCAAGGTGATTGCCTGGTTGCTTCAGTTGTTCAATAGATTTTGAAAGCAGCTAGAAGAGAGTTTTCAGGGATTCAAAATTCAATCGTTATCGTGGTAACAGAGAAGCAAAACAGTTTGATCTTCACTATTTCAGTAACTGCAAATTTCTTAGTAAGGAACTTAAATTTAAAAATTAACTTGAATACAATAAAATTGCTAGGTAATGCAACATCTAGCACCATCATTTCCATATGATATCGGTGCAGTTAGACAAGGAAGGAGGATATGTAACGTTTTCTCTTTCTTTTGAATTCTTAGCACCCTTAGAAAATGGGGGGGGGGAGTGTACAGTGGTTTCTTCCTATGGAAACCATGAAACTTTCATGAGCATATGTTTCCTAAGGTGATTTAATAGAAATAAGTCTAAGAATATGACTTTTATCAAAAGAATAAAGATAATAATGAAAAATGTCCTGAATTTCATTCTCAACAAATGCTCCTTAAGCACTATAAAAGCCAGAAGCACTAGGACAAATACTGCATAGTACCACTGTTGTAAAACAGGACTGACATCGGGGTTGGGGGAAGACTTGAAAAGATAGGGTAAATTATGTATACTGCATTGAAAGAGATGTTTAAAAGGAATATATGATTAGGTATTATTTTCAAGACAAGAGTCCAGAATAAGAGCTGGATAGTAAAGTGGACTTGAGGGAGGAGGATTGTTTAACAATGAAACCTTTTTTTTCTTCAAAGAGAAAAACGAATTGGGGGAAGGGGTAGGTAGGGAGGAAAGTGCAACAATGTATGAATGGAAATCCAAAGTCTCTGTAAACTTTCATTAAATTTTTTTTTAAAAAGGAAAAAAGCCAGAAGTACAAGCATGAATAATATTTTTTCTTATTTACCTAATCTTAGTACACTTATCGGTCCTGGAGAAGAACATCATGCTTGGGAGGGTGGAGGAACAGTGCAGGAGAGGAAGATGCCAGATGAGATGGATTGATACAGTAAATGCGGCAATGGGGGTTGGGGTGTCAGAATTAGTGAGACTGGCTCAGGACAGGGAAGGGTTCAGAGCTGCTGTACACAGGGTCACTAAGCATAACAGGCAACTCAACCAATAACATTCTACGACAGGTTTGGAAGCAGGAGTGGCATCCATTTATTAACAACACACCTCTGGAAACTCTATGAACTTTGATAAATGTTGATAGTTGTAGAGGGGCTTCATAGGGTCCTTATGAGTTGTGCTCGACTCAAAGGCCATCATCTTCAACAACAACAACAACAAGTGATTCACTAAACATTTTCTTTTTTTTTATAGTAAATAAACTTTATTTGTCTGTTCCTTTAAGATGACATAGTCAATAGTTACCTAAGCATTTTCTTACAGTAATATTAAGAAATTCTGAACCTTCAAAGTGGGCAGGATTTAAAAATTTTCACAACATTCAGTTATTTTAAGACTATACACACTATATATATAGGTCTCATACTTAGAACACCATCACTAAAATTATGAATACAATATGCTAATGTAAACTTTAAAGTTGTCTCCCACTCACTCATCATTAGCTTTTTAAACTTAAACATACAGCTTTTGTCTTTTATTTTTTTACTGGTTTACTTACAAAACTTGTATACATTGGTTTTCACACCAGATCTTCCCTATTTCCTTTACTCATCCCTCCCTCCACCCATCAAATTGTGTGACCCTATGATTAACCAATCCCCATTCCATCCTCACCCCACTGCTGCCACTCCTCTCCCCCCCATCCTCATACACATTTTACAATAATGGTCTTATACAGTATTTGTCCTTGTGGGACTGACTTAGTTCACTTAGCCTCTCCCAAGCTAGAAAGTGAGTTATAAAATCATTGTTCCTACATGCTGCGTAGTATTCCATCGTGTGGATATACCATAATATCTCACTCCATTCTATTGTGGTTGGACATCTGGGCTATTTCTATGGTCTTTCAATGGTGAAGAATGCTGCTATGAACATTGGTGTACAAATCTCCATTTGTACCTCAGTTCTCATTTTCTTAGGATATATTCCAAGCAGTGGAATAGTTGGGTCATATGGAATTTCTATGTTCAGCTTTCTGAGGAAATGCCAAACCGCCTTTCAGAGTGGTTACAGCATTTTGCAATCCCACCAACAGTGTATGGAGTCCCTATCACGCTACATCTTCTCCAACATTTATTGCTTGCTGTCCTTAAACATATATTTTAACGTCTGAATACATGGTACAGTGAAGGGTACTTTAATATCTACAAGCTCAAAACATCTTTCTTTTAGGTGAAACAACACCAAATGATTCTGCATAAACTGTCCTGACATCAAAATTCTTCACATTCACTGTGTTTTAGTAAAAAATATGGGAACTTTTGTGCATTTTTCCAACAGATATTTATTGAGTGTCAACTTTTTCAAGATACCAAGGTAATCACTGCAGAAATAGTCATTGTCATAGCCTTGGGGAAGTTAGAGTTTAGTATAAATAGTTATTAAATATACCCTAAAAAGAGCAGAATATTTTATTATTAATCTAAGCATCATATGTAGATTGAATTGTAACCTTTAAAATATATCCTTTAACTCCCAGACGTTATGCCTGTGGTTGAAATTTTACTGGGAATGGGGGCTGTATTGTAATGCTAATAGGACTGTGAATTGATTCTGAATTGAACTGTGGTGTTGGAGAAGGATACTGAATACCCCATGCTCTTTTGTTCCAAACGAACAAACAAGCCTGTGTTGGAGGAAGTGTGACTAGGCTGCTCCTTAGAGGAAAAGATGATGAAATTCCACTTATGGGCCAGTCCTTGGAAAAAGACATCATGCCAGGAATGATACGGGGTCAGAGAAAGAGAGGAAGTCCCTCCACAAGACAGACTGACAGAGTAACTGTAATAATGAGACTGAATATACCTGAGACCATTCGGACGACAAAGTATCAGGCAAGATTTGGCTCTGTTGTTCATAGGTTTGCTGTAAGTCATGGTCAACTTGATGGTACTTAGTAACAACAACAACATCAGTTAAGATATTCTAGAACATGTAATTATGCCTACGTGAAAGCTGTGCATAGATCAAGGAGTAATCACTTAAACAGAACAAGGGGATTCTGCATGGTTTAAGGTCAAGAAGAGTTGTGTCCTTTCTCCAGACCTATTCAATCTGCAGGCTGCTGTGCAAATAATTCAAGCAGCTTAACTACCTTAAGAAGATTGTGGTGTCAATATTGGAGGAAGATTTATCAACAATCTTATGTCCCTGACAGTAGATTTCCCCAATGCAATTAATTTGTCTTTTGATTTCCTAACTGCTGATGCTAGGAAGAATTAAAGAAGAATAAGTGACTCTGAATTGTAGTGTTGGTGCAATGTACTTAATAAGCCAAAACAGCAAACAAGCCTGTGTTGGAGAAAGTGCAGCTAAGGTGTCCTTAAAGCCAGAGATGGTAAAACTATTCTTCACATACTTTGAACATGATGTCAGGAGGGACTAGTCCTTAGAAAAATACACCATGCTAGGAAAGGTGGAAGGTCGGAGAAAGAGAGGAAGATCGTCAGCAGGCTGGATGGGCACAGTGACTGTAAAAATGGGTTTGAGCATGTCAGAAACTGTGAGGATGGTGTAGTCTGGGAGAGGTTTCAATCTTTTGTAAAGCTCTGTACCACTGAGTCAGAACCGACACATAGCTGATCCCCTGTCAGGCGTGGTTTCAGAGACAGCGTATCTCACAGGAGGACACTGCCCATCCTTCTCCTATGGAAAAACTAGATGAATCTGCACCACATGCCGTTGGGGTTGCAGTGTCAATTCAACGGTACCTAACAAAAATATAATATGCTAGGTTCAATCTCTTTTGAGATATAAAAAAAAATGTTAAAAGTAAGGCAGCCAAGTAAAGACAAGGGAAAAGAGAGGTCAATTAAAGATCACTTGGCAGCAGAGACTGAAGAGTCAAGGCTTTTCTTTCAGATAACACAGGAAAAGAAAGACCCACCTTCCAGCCAGTACTCTGAACTGGGAATTCTAGCCTCTTCAATAGTAAATAATAAATAAGTAAATAAATGTTTATAAAGCATTTCTCTAAGGCACGTCTGTGATAGCAGTACTATACAAATAGATCCAGGAGAAAGGTGGATGCTTTATGAAAAGAAACAGGGTTTTTACAGGAGTATATATTGAGTCACAAGGTGAGGACGATCAGGGGAGGTTTCATTGAAGAAGTAACTTGCTTTGTCTAGGACACAAAGGAAGACAAGGAGTTAGCTAAATGTCTGTACAAGGAATCCTGGTGATGCAATGGTTAAGTGGTGGGCTGCTAATTGCTTTGCCCCCATAAAGTTTATGTTTATTGGCATCAAGTTGATTCTAACTCAGTAACTCTCCATTGGGTTCCATGGACTATAAAGCCACCCAGTTTCAAGAAAATAAAAAGAATTTTAACAGAAAAGCTTTCTAATGTCTGAATTTTGGCTGCGACCACAGGGAAAAGACCTTCAGGTAACAAGTGCGCACACGCACACACACACACACACACACACACAGAAAGAGAGACAGAGAGAGAGCGCTTTAAAGAGAGAGAGACTATGAGTCTGTCAGTCCTACAGTCCTTAACTCCAGTATTCACTTCCAAATTAAAGAAAAAAAAGCAGGCAAGAAGATTTTGTAGGAAGAGATTTATTTGTGAAGAGGTATAAGCCAGGTGAGGGGGCTGCAAGGGCCCCTGAGAGAAAGTCTCTGTAAGAAAATGGCTGACAATCTATCTTCTGAAAAGATCCTCCCTGAGCCATGAAACTTTCTTTATACTGCCATAGTTTAGTTAATAAAAATGTTCCTGAGTGCTCGCTCATCAGAGCTACTGAGCCAGGGACATTGTTGAGTCAAGCAAACACTATAGACAGGTGGCCTGCTCACAAACATCTCAGCCTGTCAGAATAGAAAAAAGAAAAATCTTCAAGGGATGTATGGCCAGAGAACAGGAGCTGAGGGCCGTTCATGAGGGGTCAGCCAGAGAACACATGGCTGGGATCCAGAAAATGCAACAC